ATTTTGGCAGGGTTTATATTTTTAAATCAGGGTCCCTGATTTCCAGCTTCAGCCGTTTCCAGCATCAGCCGCGACATCCTATTTTATTTTTATAGACTATTGCGGTTTTTAGCTGTCACTTTTTTATCTATTATCACCATTTACCAAATGCGCTCCAATCGATTAGCAATCCGAATTAATATGGTATTTGCTTTATTTAAATGTATTATCCTAATTTTCATTTCAATATATGGCTTAGTATTGTCACGAAAAAATGCCGAAAATTTATGGAAGTTTGAACGTGAGCCGCCAGAGTGGTCTCATATAGGAAATTATGGCACTGCTATGCTATTGGTACTGTATAATATATAATATCTTTAATTCCTTTTTGCTTAAAAACTTACATGAAACTCGAAAAATATAGGTCTTATATTCATATGAAGGTGTGTTAATAAAGTTTTTAGGTATTCCTCCTGAAATAAGCACACCAAAAATAAGCTTCTCTAGCAAATTTTGCTTGCTTTATGGCAATATTAGCCAGAATTACGTGCAAAAAAGAATGCTTATTTTTCGACGGAATATCAGTAATTATTAAATTATCAATAAGCTGTTGGTAATTGGGTATTTCATTATTATAAATAACCAAAGGGTGGAATAATTTAAATTGTAAGACGATTTATTAGGTTATTAATACTTAAAGTTAAATCTGATTGATAATCAATACTTTTTTTTTAGATTTAACTGAAGACTTAAATTCTCCAGAGGAAAAACTAAAAATTCCAGTCATTTCTAGTGTGATCGTTTCTTTTATACTTTGCAAGTTAAACATATATTTAATTTATTCTGTTCATTATAATCCAAAAGTATTTATGTTACAATCATTTTTTGCTACAGATGTTTTGATTAATGCTGCCTATATAATGGTAGTTCCATTTAGTGAAGTTATCAACCCTTCTGATATTATTGCTATTAATTTTGGACGTAAATTATGGGGTGAGCCTGGAAAAATAATTATTTCAATACTTATCTCACTTTCCGCCTTTGGATGTGTGGATTCAATTGTTTTTATGTAAGGCTATTGAAATTTACGATATACAATTAATGTTTTAATGCGTCTTTTATTTACTTTCTTTTTTTAATAGGGGTGCTCGAGCTATAGTATACGCTGCTAAAAATGGATTTATATCCGAAAAGTTATCTCATAAAAAACATGATGCCCCATTTTATGCTTTACTCGTACAATCTGTTTATTGCGCAGTGTTTATCATTTTCTACCCAGGCAAAAACTTTTTTAAATTTTTTTCATCTATGTCGCAGTATATAGCTATGGTATTTTATGGTGTTAGTGCAATTTGCCTATTGGTATGTTAAATTAAATATCTGAGTTTAAATCGTTTAATCAGTTACCTTTAACATTTACTAATTTCAAATTAGGTTTTGAAGAAAAGGGATGAGCAAGGTCAATTCACTCATTTTCGAGTACATAAAAGTTTTATTTGGCTTTACATATTATGTACATTTCTTATTACGGTGGTGGCGATGTTTCAAACAAGTGGCTACGAGTCATCTGGTTACCAATATTATGTGCCATACATTGTTTCATGGATCGCTGTATTGATAAGTGTGAATATTTGGTATTTCCACTATTATAAAAAGGTGTTTAATAGAATGTGGTGCTTTCGAAAATAAGCAGAAATTCCAAAAATCTTTACTTTCTATACTGTATAAATAACATAGTTTAATTAATAATTTTTATCTGTAATAATAATAATAGTTACAAAGTCACTCCCCTCTATAGTCACATTTGCTTATAATCATATAAATTTTTAAAACAAACTTATATAACATATAAGCACAAAATCCTAAAACCAAGGTTTGATTATAGAGAGGGTTGACTATAAATAGTTAAAAAATATACATATATATTATATACATTAGGTCACACATGTTTAATATCTTGGTTTTCATAACATAAAGCTTTTAAACAGATCCGGCCGGCCGGCTTTTTTTTCAAATATAAAAATTTTATAAATTTTTTTAACAAACCTGTCGGTTACAGTCATACCTGAGTTATATCCCCACTGGGTTATATCCCAACCTGAATTATATCCCCATATTTAAGCAGAATAAA